AGGAATGCCAACACTGAGAGATTATCTAGTAAAATCATTGATTCACTAGAGAGATAAAATAACATTGTCATCACCAACACTTTATGCCAGAAGGTAAGAGAGTAACATTCTAAAAATACTCAAAAGAAAATGGCAAGCTCTGGGTTTTATATCCAGCCAACTGACTTTCAGGTATTGATAAAAAGACCACAGAATACTGATTTCATCACTCAAGGAATATTGTTTCCAGGAACGGTCCCTGTAAGAGAACAAGTTTTAGGTAACCAACGAGAGAGATTCTGACATAAGAGCTGTGATGAGCATTACATCTATTTTACCAGAAGAGCCAAGATTAAATGATCGTTATTAGGGAAACAGTATAGAATGCAAAGTAGATCAGCCACAATTTCAAAGAATGGAGGGAGAAAGGAGAGTATATGTGAGAAGTTGAATCAACTTCCTGTTGTCACATTGGTATTAACTAGGAGTAAGTACTTCAAATAAGAAGTTGGGGAAAAGAGAAGAGGTTACTAACAATATCAGTTTAACATTAGAACAACATTAATATTTTATGCAGACAGATCAGTAAAAATAGTAAGTAAAATGAAATTAACTGTATGTGGTGGTGGTATAGCCTCTCAGAGAGGAACTTTTTCAAGTGACTTTAAAACACAATAAGTTGACTGTACATGCTTACCAAAATATATCCTAAGGACAAGAAATAACTGCCCCCCCACAAGTCAGCTGTTTTTATTAATCCCAAAGTTGGTTGTAGTGTTACTGAAACTGTTGTGTGTGTATTGTGGGATGATTCAAAATAGTAATTATGTACATATCATTAAGAACAGGTGTGGTTGTTAGATGGTAAAAATGTAAGATTAAGGTTGATTTACCTTGTACTCCTGATTTTGAGTTCAAAGTTATCAGTAGAAACTGATAAGGTATTTTAATTATAAAAAATACATGTTATTTAGCCTTGTAACATGAAGGACCCAGTAGCAATGAGCCATGCTGGTGCACAAATTGTGGTCTCCAAATACCATTTCCCATTAAAAGAATTTAGTGCTCTTTGGGAAAATGTCTGATTCCAGGTCTTGGGCAGGAAATACACAGTGTGAGCCTAGAATATCTTGACCTAGCAAAAAGCAAGAAAGCTATAAATAAGTAGATGGATGGATAGATAGATAATGACAAAAGGACTCAGTAGCCAACCTGAGTAAACTTCCACTGACCAAAGATGGGACAGTTTGAACAGCAGTAGGATGATTATTATGTTGTATCAAAGCATTTGATATGTTTAAGTCTCTAAGTTCATAAAGTGATTTTTTTTAAAAAACATCACTTTTAGAGGATTCTAGGGAACTAGTTCATTATTCTGAAAATTGGTAAATAAGGGAAATGAGCACTTGTTTTTCCTGTACAATCTATGTCTTGAGATAATCAATTAGGTAATAAGGGAAAGTTGTTCTTTATAAGCATTCCTTCTAACAAAGGAGGAATGGTATCATTGGAATACCAGCATTTTACAACTCTTAAATACTAAGGGATCTAGACATGGTTGTTGGTGGCTGCTGACATCACAAAAAGAGAATCAGACATTATGTACCTCCTGAGGGAAGTACACAGCACCATCTCTGAATAGTATTGCTGAAAAAAGAAATATGCGAACCTGAATCTGATCGAGACTCTAGACCTAACTATGAATTTAAAGGAAATACAAGAGACAGATGAACATGTTAAACACCATGAGAATGCAGTCAGCTAAATTCAGACCATTGAAACTGCAAACCATCTCTGTTTATTCAACAGAAAATTACAAGGGAAAGAGATGGAAGGGGCACTAAAGATACATATTGCCCATTCATGATGTATGGATTTTGTTTACTTTACCAATTCAGACTGTTTTGAAACATCAGGAAAAAAATGAACACCATCTGAATTGTTGATCTTAAGAATAGTTGATCTTAAGAATAGTTGATCTTAAGAAATTATTAATTTTTAATGTGACAACAGTACTGTGGTTGTGTTTATTTAAAAAGATTTAGTTTTGGAAATGCAAACTAAAATATTTTCAAATGAAATAATGTTAAATCTGGGACTTAAAAATAATCAGGGGCTTCCCAGGTGGCACAGTGGTTAAGAATCTGTCTGCCAATGCAAGGGACATGGGTTCGATTCCTGGTCTGGGAAGATCCCACATGCTGCGGAGCAGCTAAGCCCGTGTACCACAACTACTGAGCCTGTGCTCTAGAGCCTGTGAGCCACAACTACTGAGCCCACGTGCAACAACTACCCATGCTCTGCAACAAGAGAAGCCATCACAATGAGAAGCCCGTGCACCGCAACAAAGAGCCCCCACTCGCTGCAACTAGAGAAGCCCACGTGCAGCAACGAAGACCCAACTCAGACATACATACATAAATATTAAAAAAATAAATAATCAGGGATGGGAGTGAATACATGGGAATATGATGAAATAGAATTGGTCATGTATTGACAATTGTCAAAGCTGAATGATAGATGAGATTTATTATATTCTCTCTGCTTTTGAATATGTTTAAAAACTATAATTGAAAAACAAATTGAAAATTTTTAAAGGTAAATTCACCAGATATTTTTTATATAAGTTTGAGGTGTACAGCATTATAATTTGACATTTGTATTCACTGCAAAGTGATCCCACCACAAGCCTAGTTACCATCCATCACCATTATAATTGACACCCTTCACCGTTTGCACCCATCTCCCAACTCCCTTCCCCTCTGGTAACCATTAATATGATTTCTGGTTTCTCTTTTGTTTGTTGGTTGGTTTTTTAGATTCCACATATGAATGAAATCATGTGGTATTTGGCTTTCTCAGTCTGGCTTATTTCATTTAGCATAATATCTTCAG